TTCCTTCCTTCCTTCCTTCCTTCCTTCCTTCCTTCCTTCCTTCCTTCCTTCCTTCCTTCCTTCCCCTCCTTTCTTTCCCTCCTTCCTTCCTCCTTTTTTTTTTTTAGACAGAGTTTCTCTAGTCTTGGGTGTCCTAGAACCCACTCTGTAGATTCACCTGCTTCTGCCTCCTCCTGGGTGTTGGGATTAAAGGTGTTTGTCACCACTGCCTGGCTAGTTTTTGTTTTCTAGAATTTATATAAATGGATTTTATAGGATACTCTGTGTGTGTGTGTGTGTGTGTGTGTGTGTGTGTGTGTGTGTGTGTGTATACACATGTATTCATATGCATATATGTTTGTTTCCTCACAGTGCTGGAGATAAAACTGGGTTTTATGTATGCTTGCCAAGTGTATGCCGTGGACCTACACACTCAGTCTCAGTGGGTTTTTGATGCAGCATAATTATTTTTCAGTTCATCCATGTTGATATATGTATAGTAGTTAATTATTTGTGTGGGGTATGTGTGTGCGATTGTGTGTGTGTGCTTATTAATGTGTGGATATGTAAAGGCCAGAGGTATGTTATCTTCCTTTGGCACTCTCTATTTAAAAATTCTTTACATTTACTTATGTATTGTGTGTGGGTGGGTGGGTGTGGGCGGGTGTATGGGTGCATATGTGCACATTCAGACGGCAGGTTAAGGCACCATGAAGTTCTCGGAGTTGAACTTAGACTTGACAGCAAGTGCCCATACCCAGTGAGCCATCCCACTGGCTCCCTCCATTGTATATTTTGAGGCAGTTTTTCAGTGAACCTGGGCCTTGGCATTTTGGCTATACTGGCTAACCAGAAAATTCCCAAAATCCACCTATCTTGGCCCCCTCGTCACTGAAGTCACAGATGTGTATCACTGCATTCAGCTCTTTATGTTTGTGCTGGGCATCTGTACTCAGATCTCCACTCTTGTATGGCAGGCATTTTACATACTAAGCCATCTCCACAGCCCCTATAGTAGTTCATTCATTGTTGCAACCAGGCATGTTCAACCTAGTTTTGTATGTTGTCCTCTGCAGAGCTCATCCTCAAGAGCCAGGTAGCTAAGTTACACACATATACCAACACACATGCACACACTCTCACGTTTTAAGTCAGTTTACAGTTTTGTATTGGGTTACATTCATAGTTATTCACACTGGTGGTGCATGGCTGCAAATGCCTCTCCGAATGAAGGTGTACTCCTGTTGATCATTCACCTGTCTACAGGCAATTGGAGTTGCTGCCTGTTTTTTTTTTTTTTTTTTTTTTTTTTTTGCTGTTAAATAAGGGGGGAAAAACTTTAGGCAATTTAAATAAAGCTGTTTGAGTAAAGAATGATTCTTATGAATTAAGCAATACGCATAATCAGAAAAGATCCAGAGAGTTTTGTCTAACTGGGTATTGAGTGGTTCTAGACAAAAAGGGGAAGTAAGGTAAGGTTCGTCTCCTTCTCTGCCCTTTTTGGGTGTGGTCTGATTTGTTGGCTGCTGTGCTTGGCTGAATTTGGCTGCTTGTGATTGGGAGAGACTCAGCTGTTTGTTCTGACAGTCATTTAGGTTTTCTGTTTGTTTATATAGTGAGTTAGGTTGCATTTCATTAAAAAATTTAATTTTATAAACTTAGTTTTAAAAAACTTGAACATAAATAAAAACATCACATGCCAAAATTAACCAAAACCAAAACACCATACAACTTAACGTATTTCATAGTATAGAAACTCAAAAGTATAGAGATAGTCTCAGGTCAGTGGCTTTCTGCTTACTCATTTTATCTGTTACAAATAAGTTGCTGTAAATAGTTTTTCAAATGTACATTTTTGCTTTTTAAGATAAATACCTAGGAATGCAGTAGCTGCATTGTATGACACTCTGTGTGTCTTTTTCTTTTCTTTTTTTGGTGGGTGTGTGTGTGTTTTAAAGCAACTACAAAATTAAAAAACAATGGTAAGTATTTCAAATTTATACCAGCAGCATTGGGAGGACACAATTAGTTGTTCCTGTCTTTGCTGTGTTCTTGGTGCTAAGGAGTAAGCCTGGGGCCTTGTGCAAGGCAAGCAAGCACTCTGCTGACTGCACTACACCCAAGCCTACCACAGTTTAAACAGTTGGGTATACAGACAAATTCAGCAAATCAGTTGATGCTTAGGGAGGAACTGCTGTTTGTTTGAATGGCTGGAATTAGAGGAGAATGACTTGTCCTGACAGTGCTTTTAGGGAGTGAAGACATTGGATAGTGATGACGTGAGTTACAGTGTGGTCCACGAGATGAGCAAGAGTGAGAAAGAAGTGATTAGGATTACCAATTGAGCTTGTGCACGCTAGATTTGAAGTCTGTTGTTTGCTTAGTATGTTAAGTGTGTATGTGTTTATTTGGATGTTTCTGTATGAAGAAATAGCTTAGCTTTGATATAGGCTTGGTCACATAGGTACTGATACTCAGAGCTCAAATCTGCAGCTTTCTGACTCAAACCTCATGTTTTTTTTTTTTGTTTTGTTTTTTTTTAAGATTTATTTATTATGTATACAGAAGAGGGTGCTAGATCTCATTACAGATGGTTGTGAGCCACCATGTGGGTGCTGGGAATTGAACTCAGGACCTCTGGAAGAGCAGTTGGTGCTCTTAACCTCTGAGCCATCTCTCCAGCCCCAAACCTCATGTTTTTGTCTCATGTTATTTTATATCACTAAGTCAGGAAAATATATTTGACTTTGACAGTAATACAATGTTCCCTGTGAGCTATTAAAAATACATACCAGAGTGTGAAAGCTCAGATGCTTATCAGGTCCAGGCTGGTAACCGTGAACTAGGTTACAGTGGAGAGAGTGGCAGCATCTGGAGAACCACAAAGCCCATGCCCATCAGGAGTTGGCTGTTAATCCAACCTAATAGTGCTCCATGTGGGAGCAGACCTCATGTTGTCTGGTTTATTTTTCAAGAGAGAGCAGAAATCTGAATTTTTCTTGTGAAGTCTTCAGATTTGTCAATGGAGGAAGGTGTTCTTTAACACAGATATAAGCCAACCTTGTGTGTGTCCACTGAAGACTTGTTACCTGGCTTCTGCTCAGTGGGTCACCTTTGGTATAAGTTGTACCTTGTATACTGTAGAAGCAAGGATCAATTTATATGATGAGAAAGGGGTGGTAACCTTGTGTAATAAGCATGTTACAGGCGTTGAAAAGTAGGTTGTTTGTTTAAACATGGTGCTTAGTGAGTCTAGCATTTGAGTTTAGTTTTCATGTTGTATCATTTAATTATATAGGGGGAGGAATTGCTCCCTGGCACTTTTGCCTCCTAATTGCATGCTTTCATTTGCAGATAGGGCCGGTTTTGAGTGAAACGGGAAAACTAAATGAGAAGAAATCTCCCAGGAACAACTTGTACTGCTACAGAGTCTGCAGTCACCTGTGTGTGTCTTATGGAATAGTCTACACTCAGAGATAACTAAATAAGTGGCCCCGTTGATGAGTGGTGAGTCTGTGGCCACTGGTGGCTAGATATCGAAGTGATTGCCACAAAAACAGTCTTTCTTCGTGTTGCTAGCACTCACCATGAATAAGTTCATTTTGTCCGAGTCCAGAGTGTGGCTTTTATCTTCAGGTTAGCACAGTCTTTCCATTGCCCATGTGACAGTCATGACAGTTGTTTGACCAGGTAGTCACAGGACATTCCGCCTTTTACCAATAAAAGCAGTCAGTAATGATTATCTACTCTTCAAAGCCATTTTAATAGCCTAACCCTAATCATTAAAAATCTACTGGAAGCTGGGTGGTGGTGGCACACACTTTTGATCCTAGCACTCGGGAGGCAGAGGTAGGTGGATCTCTGAGTTTGAGTCCAGTCTGGTCTACAAAGCGAGTTCCACAACAGCCAGGACTTGTTGCACAGAGAAACCCTGTCTCGAAAAACAAAAACAAAAACAAAACAAAACAAACAAAAATCTACTGGAAGCTGGGCATGGTGGTGCATGCCTTTAATTGTAGCACTTGGGAGACATAGGCAGCTTGGTCTACATAGTGAGTTCCAGGATAGCCAGGACTATACAGAGAGACTGTGTCTCCCCCCCCCCCAAAAAAAAAGCAAAAAACAAAAACAAACACACACACACACACACACAAACAAAACCAAAAACATGTAAATTTTCCTCTAGCCAGAATCATATTTATCCTCTCTTCATCATATGTTCCAGTACATAAAAAAAGATTGTTGAGGCCCCTTCCATCACAGTCTCAGTCAGGATTAGAGGATACACACACCCCTTCTGAGAGGAAGGAATGGTGTTTTCCAGCACACAGTCAACACTGGCAGGGACAGGCAACTTAGGAGTTCTAGAGATTCTTTTGGCTATACATTTTAAATAAAAGAGAAATGTAGTTCTCTAAGATAAGGAAGGAACTTAAAACTTTAAAATTGAGGATTTAAAAATAAAGTAGCATATACTGATTAAAGGAAAATCTATTAGAAAAAACACAGACATATTTTAAAATTCCTTTGCAAATACTGAGAGCGAACATTTCATGTAGAGCTTGACAGCTGCAAGTTGAGGAAATCAGTTGTTTGACATGCATTTCGTCATATTTCTTGTATCCATGTGTGTTAAGTACACTTGTTTGATTACCACGGATAAAATGACAGTAACTGCGCCTTAGAGCTGGCTCTGGTGTCTCTGCCCTGAAGTGCATGCTGTGTAGTCAAGTCTCCAGGGAGCGTGCCCCTCTCTCTTTCTGCTTCTTACACTGGAGGGTATCTATCACTGGGGAACAGACTACAGTGTAGTCCAAGGAATGTTTCCAGCCTAAATTCTTGTCCCTAAATCAATGCTGTTCTAAGGTTCTTCATGCTACAAGAATCCTAGTGTCCTACCAACATTGAAAATACTGTTGAGTAAAAATCTGACCTTGGTTTTTACTTTGCCTTTGAGTATTTATCTGTTTACATCCAGTTGAAAATAATTAATCTTTATAGATTTACATTAATGTTTCTATTAAGATAAATTCACTCATAAATTGTCTCTGATGAGCAAGGCCAGCAGTTGTTAAGAATTTTATTGAGAGAGCCAAAGGACATGTGTTCCTAATGAAAATGGAGGAGAGTAACCCATCCATAAAATTCTCTTTCAAGCAGCTGTTTCTGTTGTCAGTACAATAGCAAGCGAGTGAATAATCCTTTCAGTTTCCCCATTTTTGTGTGTGAAATTATTATTGGTTGTTGTTACAGAGCGCTGAGTCTTTTCCCCAAGTGCTCACTTACTCTTTAGAAGTGTTGTTTCTCAAGTCACGGCCCTGTGAGCGAGGCTGTCGCTCTTGACCACAGCGCTGATTTTACACTCATCTGAAAATAACCTGCTAGATGTTAATGTCGCTGCTCTGCAGCGCTGTCCGTCAGGACTTCTTGTCCTGAGCTGCTGTCTTCTTTGTCTTGGTGTTTAAGTTGGCAGAGAGGGATGTCAGTGGTTGTGTGCCTTGGGAAGGGTGGAGTGCAGTCCTCCCTCACTGTGAGTTTTGAGAAGAGATAATGAAATCCTTTATGTCCTTTTCCATAGACCAGCATTTCAAAGACTCCATTTTAATAAGAATTGGTTGTGCAGCTGCAGCCCTGGCAACAAGGCCTGGGTGAGAAGAATTGGGGCAGCATTCCAGAAACAGGGCTTCAGTGGTCTCCTGTGGAGCTGTGCTAATGAAACAGATGAGAACATAAAGCATTTCATAGAAATAAGCCCAGGACTTTGAGTTGGTATAAAGGATGTTGAAATTTTCCACATATATTTTATAAAAGCTGTCATAAGCCATTTATTCATCAAGAATAGCTATGTCATATTCTCTGAGTATAAAAAAAAAACCTGTATATCTTTGTAAGTTAGTATTTCTGTGAATTATATCTAAAATGTAATTGTTGTTGCCCATTTTTGGTGAAGTCCAGGTGTTTTGAAAACACGATACCAGATATATCAGATGTTCTAAAGACAAAATCTGTTGCTGGAGAGATGGCTCAATGGTTAAGAGCACTGGCTGTCTTGTAGAGGATCTTGATTCAGGTCCCAGCACCTACATGGCAGTTCACAACCATCTGTAACTCAAGCTCCAAGAGATCTAGTGTTTCTTCTGGTCTCCATGGATACCAGGCACATGTGGTGCACAGAAACACACGCAGGCAAAACATTTATATACATAAAATAAAAATATCTTAAAAAATAAAAACAAGATTTTAGGGTTTTTTTTTGGGGGGTGGATTTCGGGACAGGGTTTTGCTGTGTAGCTTTGCTCCTTTCCTGGAACTCACTTGAGATCCACCTGGCTCTGCCTCCCGAGTGCTGGGATTAAAGGCGTGCGCCACCACTGCCCGGCAGGTTTGTTTTTAATAATGTTAGATTTTAAATGGCCATCTTATTTTCATATAAATTCCTGTAATTGTTATACTATTAACAGTGCTTTTAGGCAATACAATTTGTTAAACATATTCTTTTAACACCAACATGGCTGTAAAATCTGTCATTAAACCGTAATTAAACAACTACCTAGCTACTTGACATTAAATTGTACCTATTTTTTAAAATTCTGTTTCAAGAAGTATTTAATAAAGAATTTTTGTGCATATGGGTTTTTCTTTCTTTTGAGTTCTTTATAGATTACTAATTGTGAAAACTTTAGGTTTCTTTCATAAAAGGACTGAAACTCACATAGATGTGGTTGCCAGTGTCTTAGGTACTCTCTTTTTCTATTGCTGTGATGAGAGACCATGACCAGAGCAACTTATACAAGAGTTTGTTTGGGCCTTATGGTTCATGATGGGGGAGTGAATGGAAAGTAGCAGGTGGCTGGGGCAGCAGCTGAGATTCACAACTTGAACCCCAAGCAGGAGACACTTTGAATGGCACTAGTCTTTTGAAATCTCAATGTCCCGGTGACACACTTCCTTCAACAAGGCCACATCTCTTAATCCTTCCCAAATAGTTCCACCAACTGGGGACCAAGTATTCAAACACAAGCCTATGGGGGCCATTCTCATTCAGACCACCATAGACACTTTCCCTGTTCCCTTCCCAACACTGAATGCTACCACACTTTAAAATAGAATAGTTATTAGCCGGGCATTGGTGGCGCACGCCTTTAATCCCAGCACTCGGGAGGCAGAGCCAGGCGGATCTCTGTGAGTTCGAGGCCAGCCTGGGCTACCAAGTGAGCTCCAGGAAAGGCGCAAAGCTACACAGAGAAACCCTGTCTCGAAAAACCAAAAAAAAAAAAAAAAAAAAAAAGAATAGTTATGAAATGGTAGTTGCTGGTTTTGGTTAATTATTTATTTTATGTGCATTGGTGTTTGCCTGCATGTATGTCTGTGTAAGGGTGTCAGATCCCTGGAACTGGAATTTACAGACAGTTGTGAGCTGCCATGTGAATGCTGGGAATTGAATCCCGGTCCTCTGGAAGAGCAGTCAGTGCTCTTAACTGCTGAACCGTGTCTCCAAATGTGTGTGTGTGCACACATGCAGGTTGTAGTTTATTAAAAATGGTTTAATTCTATATTTAAGCACAGCATTAAAAGAGATGTGGAGAAATAGAGGAGTACATTCCCATGGGCTTCTCTAGAGAATCTTCAATTTCCATTTCTTTAATTAGAAGCAGTGAACATTTTAAATTTGTCATCTTCTGTGAGTTTTCACACTCAATTCTTTTTTTTTTGAGAATCCATTCGTTTTATTTTTAGCTGGTACCTTCAAGAATCTCTCAAAAGCTAAGTTTCCATTTAGTCTTCATACATATAGTTGAATGTGTTTCAGGTTCTGTTATAGCCTGGACAAAGCAGACACGATTTGGTTACAGGCTCCTGAGCAGGTCCTTGAGTCTCCTTTTCCAGCCCTCTGCCTTCCCTTCCTGCTGTGCTGTGGATTCCCACTGGACAGGCAAGCCAGCCTTGCCTAGCTTCTTGGCTCAAGGGGCTAGGGGTTCATTTCAGTGTTTGGCCACAGTAATTCGTTCCAGTGACCATGTCAGACGAGGTGATACAATTAAAGTGCAGCTTTAAATTTTTACTTATTTTTAGCCGGGCGGTGGTGGCGCACGCCTTTAGTCCCAGCACTCGGGAGGCAGAGGCAGGCGGATCTCTGTGAGTTCGAGGCCAGCCTGGGCTACCAAGTGAGTTCCAGGAAAGGCGCAAAGCTACACAGAGAAACCCTGTCTCGAAAAACCAAAAAAAAAAAAAAAAAAAAAATTTTTACTTATTTTTATTACCATTAAGTTGTGTTTAGTCCTTTCCTGTCCTTATTAGGATCCCCACCAACCCCTTACCCCCAAACAGGGTCTGTATGCAGATCTGACTGGCCTTGAATTCAGATTCATCCTGACTCTGGCCCTCAGGTACTGGAATTACAGGCATAGACTACCATATCCAGCCTGTTTTCTTTGAATGGTTTAAAAATTTTTAAAAATCAGTGATGTTAGTAAATTTCCTTGTAAAACAAAGCTCCAGCTATATTA